GTGGCGGACGGGGCCAGGCGTCACCGTCGCATCATCACCGAGCTCGGTGACCTCACGCGGTGACGTCACGCGGCCGCCGCGCGGCGGAGGGGCGAGGCCTCTTTTTTTTCCCTCCGTCGCCTTCCACGTTTTTTTTCCTAGGGAGCGAAAGACCCGGATGGAGGAACCGGAAGCGGCGGCGAATTCAAGCCGTGCCCCTCCCTGCGCGTGATACGTACTTCCGCCGCGCTCGCGCTCCGCTTTTCCTCGCGGCCTGCGTCTCTCCCATCCGCCCACAGCGGTCGGACTCCTCCTGAGAGGGATTGGTGGAAACCTAGCCGCCGCACAGTCTCATGGGAAGCCGAGTCCCTCGGACCTCAGGCCTGGAAGCCGTCCCTGCGCCATCCCGCGTCCCCGAGGCCGTAGTCTCGCGATGGCGGCCCTCCGCGCGAGATCTCCTGCCGCGAGCCCTTTTCCTCGCTGGGCTCCATGGGAGATGTAGTTCTGCGCCGGGAGCCCGAGGCCTGTGAGGGAGAAAGGCCTCTTTCGTCTCTGAATTCGGAGAAACACCAGGGCCTCAACCGCGCGTGCGCAGGGTGGGGCGGAGCTCCTCTTGGGGCCTCTTTCTCTGCCCGCCCCCCCCCAAATAAAGCTGTTTGCTGCTCGTTGCACACAATGACAACCTTGTTATTTATTTCTTTATTTTATTTCTTGGTTTAAAATATATCTTGCCTTTCTCCTGAAAAAGGATCCCAGGCGACTGACATCCGTTGAAAGACAATCTGAAATCTCCCTCCTGCCAATACTTTCTTGGGTTTGCTGTTTATCCCATCTTGATTACGGTGTTATTATAGATTTCAAGCAGACTCCTGTCTAGAAGCGCGGGCTAAAAATCCAATAAATAAATAAATAAATAAATAAATCTAAACAATAGGATAGAAATACTTAAAAGGAACAACAACAAAAATCCCCCACAAAAAATCATCAGCCACACCAAAAACACCTGCAAAGCAAGGCAGACGAGTATTTTGCAGGAGAAAGGAAAACAAAAATATCATCAAACAGGAAGCGAAGGCCTTTTAAATATAAATACCCTCAAAGAAAACAGAAAGAAAAAGTCAGGTGCATCTTTTATAACACTATCCCCACCCTCACTAACAACAACAACAACAACAACAATAATAATAATAATTAAAAAAACCCCAGTAAGGTTGGTTGTGTATGAACCACTGAACTCTTAGAAACAGGCAAGCTTTTGACTCCAACAGGACTCTTCTTCAGGCTGGGCAAGGAGAGCCAGACATGCGCACAATTTTTTTTCTCACCAGGCCTTCCTTGTCTTTCATGTTACAGATCCAAGCCTGTGGCTTCCTTTAGGGAGTCCATCCACCTCCTATTTGATCTTCCTCTTTTCCTGCTGCCATTCACCTTTCCCAGCATCACGTTTTTTTTCTGGAGAATCCTGCCTTCTTCTCAGGATGGGCCTGAAAGGAGGACCGCCTCAGCTTCAGCATTTTTGCCTCCAGAGAGCATTCAGGCTGGATCTGACTTAAGACCCACTTGCTGGTCTTCCTGGCAGTCTATCTGCAAAGCCCTCTTCCAGCACCGCATGTCTTGAAATGGGTTTTCCCCCAAGCCCCATCGGAGCCCACGGGATCGTTGGCCAAAATCTTGCTGACCGGAGTATGGCTGAGAGCAATGGAAACGACGTTATGGGCGGCAGCAGAATTGCCACGGAGGAAAGCGTTCAACGGTGTGAACAGAACCGGGCCAACTCTTGAAGTTCCGCCCAAGAGACGTCAGTGGGCGGAATAGGACATTCGTAGCTTCATCTAAACCTGTGCTGTACATGCAGGTTCTAAATATGGCTGAAGAGTTGAGGTGAAAGGCTTATTCTCTTTTCTCCTTTGCAGAGGGCACATCACTTCATGGCACGGTGTAAGGGCAAGGGGGCACGCTGGAATCCAAAGGAAACCTTTCCTCTGTGGCCCTCCGTTCCTGCTGGAGGAGACCCTTCTCAGCGGGCAGTGGGATTTCGGCTTTCAGGAGATTCCTGTTTTACGTCATTGAAAGACAATATTAAAAACGTACAGTTCTTACAGACATGGTTGTGACTAGACCATCAGCAATTTTTCCCCAGCTTGAGTGCACGGGGAAAGCTGTCTCTTAAACAGAAATGTTTCTTGTGAACTTGACAGAGAACCCGAGTTTGAATTCTGGCAGGGAGAAGTTATTGGCTTGAACAAACAACTGCCCCTTCCGACCCTCTCTCTCTGTAAAGGGTTGGGGAAGAGCGGTCTGGAACTTGGCCTCTAGTCTGGAAGGATGGACACCTTTCACAAGGGGGGCAAGTTTGGCCACAGGACTCTTGGAAGGATCTGCTCCTGGGCCTTGAGCGAAAACTGCCCTAGCTTTGTGGATTAAAGTCAATAATCCATTCCTGAAAAGTAAAAGGAAAGCCACCCAAGCTGCAGGGCTGGAGGGGGGAAACAGGGCCTCTAAAGTCAACATGCCAACCCCAGAGGTTTGCAGAGAGAACAGCCGGCTGACTTTCTTTAATGAGCGGCGGCTGCTTTTTTTAGCAGAGCTCTTTCTGCTCGCTTCCACTCTAAAGCCTTTTAGTGCTCCAGAGGCACTGTTTCACAAAGACGCAGCCAGCAGCCCGCGATGAGCAGGGACCCAAATCAGGGTGTTGCAGAACAGAGAGCAATTAAACCGTTTCTCTGCAAAGGAGGGATCTGGTGACTTGATGGAACCCCTGCCAGCTGAATGAGGACCGCAGAATCCATCAACGGAATTGAGTTTGCCAGGCATGCCTAGCAGAAACGGACACCCTGAAGTCAAGACCATGACCTTTACGCTCGACTTTCTATATACTGTACCCCGAGCTCAGCCTCGCTTCTCTGCTGCCTCTCCACTCCACTCCATTTCATTTCTTTGTGTACATCCTCCTCTTTTTTACTCCAGCAAGCATCCGGCCATGTCAATGGCTCGCTTTCTGCTTGCTTTATCCTTGTGCCAACCCAGCCAGGACGATGAAGCTGAGTCATTCACCAAATTCCATGGCCAAATGGGGAATTGAAGTCAGGTCTCTCAAGCCCTATGCCAACACTAATTAACGCACCACATTAGCAACCACAACCCTTCCCCCCCCCAGACACACACACATACAGTATATTTCTCTGCCTCCTTTACCGACAGAAGGCACAGTGGGCCAGTCTGTGTCCTACGGTAGGAGCCAGCCTACAAACTAGACATTTACCGGCTCTTTGAAACTGGTGGTCAAATGAAGTTCATATAATTCCCCTGGAATGGTTGTTCTCGAGCTGATTATCTCCGCATGACTGTGCACTGAGTACACCACATGATGGATGCCACACCTCGGGGGGGGGGGAGATTCCTCTGCTTCCACATGGATTAGAGAGTGGTGTTCCCATGCAAGTTCACACAGGAATACAGTACCCGGGAGCAACGCCCGATAGGTCCTGCCTCTTCCCAAAGGAAGCCAGACTTGAAAAGGCGCTTTGAGCACAGGGCGCATGTGTGCCTGGGGCAAGGGCCAGGGGGAACCACTGTCCCTCTCGCTCTGCTCTCTTCCTCGGCCAGAAGCCCTTTGCTCGTAAACAGCCCCAGAGGGGACAGAGGGCAGGGGAAGAAACGGTAGCCGCCGTCGGGGACCTCTTTCAGGGGCACAAGTTAATGACCAACCAAGATCAACACATCTGGAGAGGGGTTCCCAAGCAGAGAGCCCAGGGAGCAGACCAACGGAGGAGGAGGACGACGACACGGGAGACGGCAGGATGAGGAGCCTGCTTGCCCTGGTCCTGAGCCTTCTGGCCCTGGTGGACGTCAGCTGGACATCTGTCCAGGACAAGGCTCGGGACAAGGCTCGGGACCTGGTGCTAGAGTTTTTCCATAACCGGAGTCTTGTGCAGTACCTGTTCAAGGAGCGAGCCATGACTGCCCTCAACATGGAGGTGAGCCCATCGTGATCCAGCGTGGTGTGACCTGTGGGTGGAGGGATGGTTGTGTGGGTTGTCTTCCCAAACCAGAAAAGGTCTCGAATTCCCACCCCCCTCTCCTGAGGGAAGCAGCCTCCCAGCAAGCAATGGCGGGAGGGTCCAGAGCTTGGGGGGGGGGTTGGAATGAAGAAACTTTAAAAGAACAACAACAACAACAAAAGAATATTTCCACATTCTGCTTAAATTAATAAGCTTATGGCCCAACACATTTCTGAGCCTGCCAATGTGCGCTGGAACCCCGATTCTGCCTCAAGGGACGAACCCCTGTTTCCCACCAAGGCTGCGCTGCCAGGGACCAGTATGTTCTGCTTTGAGACCATAAACCCCAGTAGTGGAAACCTAAATCAGCCTCTCCCATGCAACACATTTAAGATGAACAGAGGCTGCAAAAGGTATAGCATTTGTGCCAGATCCTATGCATACATCTTATGTAGTGATGGTTTAATATGCTGCCGGGACATCCCTGTATTATGACACTCTTATGCATGAAAGCTATGCTCCTGGCCAAAGTCCAGTAGGGTTTTTATGCTGGCGTTATGCAGTCTGCGTAAATCCTGTTGGTCAACTACCAGAGGTTAAGAAGGTAGCATGGGCATTTGTCATCCTCGTTGTTACTCAGACAATGTTTACATTGCTTCCTCCCCTCGCAGCAATGTTGCCATCAGGATTTATACCAGTTGTGTGGGAACAGCATTTTGGAGCAAATTTATTTATTATTTATTTATTTGCTTTCTTAGTAGCAAAATTGTGGCTTCCGCATGCTGTTCCTGAGAGGAATTCCCCTATTCAACACCCGTCATTTTCCAACAGCTGCAGTCTTGCCTTGTCAATATGCATTTCCTAAATTCTCATTGCAAATTTTGCAATAAAACATGAGTCGCTTAGTTATTAAAAAGCCCAATTTTCCTTTTGCAGCTGCTTCCCAGTGGCCAAAAAGAAATAATTCTTAGAAGTCGGACTTGGCTGCAGGAGGGGGAAGCATCTCCTCCCGTTTAAGAAGGAATGGAAAGCAGACTGCCCAGATAAGAGTGCCCGTGTGGTCCGTTATCGAGTTTTCCTGCTGGCCAACCAGCACAATGTGCCTGCGGTGGATGGCGTTCCATGAGTCATGGGGAACTTTCGTACCTAAGAGCTACCGGCTGCCTAGATTTGCCAAGCCATCCTTGGCACAAAAAGGGTGTGACTGCAGTGCAGAGGGTTTTTGGAAGTGCGGGCGAGGAGAATCTTTTTTGCTTATACCTCCCAGAATCTCCCCATGGTGATTGGGGGGGGGGTTCTGGGAAGGTGCTTAGCAGAACAGCACCAACGGAACACTTGCGCAAGAGAAGCCTTTCAGTGGTTTGGTTATGCTAGGCATTCCTCAACGATGGCCCGTCAGGACCCCCCCTCCTTCTTGCAGTTTGGCAGCGCTGGCAGCTGCCTCCGCTCACTGACCCTGGTGTGGTTTGGTTGCAGGAGTTCCCCATGGGGACCTACATCCGTCTGCAGGTCGAACTGGATCAGACGGTCTGCAGGAAAAGCCAACGGAGGACCGAAAACTGCCAGATCAAATCCAGAGGGGTGAGCCTAACGCCACTGGGGCTTCTCCGCTTGTCCCACACAGAGCCCTGTTGTGCGGGCGTAAATACACAAAAGAGCCTTTTGGTCACGGGATGGCTTCCTCCCCATCCCCAGAACAGAAGGCACAAAGGCCCTCCCTCAGGGCTAGCGGTGGGACCAAAATATGGGAAATTGGGGGGGGGAGTCCTCCTCCCCCTGGTTCCCCCCCCAAGACATTATTTGTTTTTGTGGGTTTTTTCCTGGAAAAAATGAAGAAAAATATGGAGTGTGGAACATATTCTTTTACAATGATAAATAATATATCGATGGCACTGCATTCAAAGTATATAACATGAAGACCCTAATCAATGACTTATTTGGTTCTCCCTACAGATGTAAGATTTCCGGAAATTTTCATTTTTTCCAGGGAAATTTTTTTCCTGTTTGTTTGCTTTTTTCAGGGGGAAAAATGGAAATTTTTGGAAATGTTACATCTCTGCTCAAGGCCAAGGGCACTGCCCATCATTCAGAGAAGGGTTAATCCCCGCTGGGCCATCTGGCTGCTAGCCACCCCTTTCCTGCCCAGGGTCTTGGAGAGGGTTTTGATGGCTCAGGTGCACCGGGGACACCAGCTGGCGCGCAAGCTGCAGCCTTTCGTTGCTGGTGTCTTAACGATCGATCACGCATGCGAGCAGCGGGCGGAATAAACATTAAACGGAAAGAGTTGTGGTGCTGTATAGACAGACGCATTTATTTCAGCGTGAGCTCTGGTGGATGATGATCTCCTGCTTCAGTCTTGTGGTGCCAGCACAAATCTTGTGGACTGTGCTAGATGCTTCACCCCTTCCCTTCAGTAAGAGCACCCAGGGAGGAAATTAGGAGACCTGTAACAATTTAGGGGTGTTGTTGGTCTGAACTGCACGAGGTGGTTTCTGAACAGTTTTAGGTTCGGTCGTACGTGGGTGTGTTTGGTTTGGGGTTTTTTTTGGAGGGAGGTGAATGCCCGAACTTTCTGAGAGCACCACCTTGTTTGTCTGAAGAAGTGGATCTATCTATGAAAGTTAATGTGTAACCCATTCACCTTAAAGGTGTTAGGATGCTTTGTTCGTTTGTTTGTTTAAATAAAGGTGAGGGTGCTGTTTTTGTTTTCTGTTTCCAAACCTGTCTCGGCCTCTCTCGTGGAAATGGCCGCAGCTTCTCCTCCTCCTTCTCTCTTTCTCTGCCCAGAGGAAACAGACTTGCTTGGCTTGTTTCAAGTTTGACTCCATTAACGAGGAGCGTGTGCTGGACCAAGCAATCCACTGCCTCTCTCCGCAGAACAGCAACTTCCAGGTAGGACGCGCGCTTCGCCCTCCTACCGCCCAGGCTTCTGTGTGTGTTTTCGTCAGCCACCGGCAGCTCCCACTCCTCTTAACAGAGTGCGAGCCCACAAGGGCACCCCGTCCAATCCCTTCCAGCTCAGCATTTGTATGCTGGAGAGCTGGCCGTTCTCCCAGGTGGGTCCTCCTGGTTACTGTAAAACAGCAGGGCTCCGAGGCCAACGTTCCAAGACCAGCCTAGCCATCATGGTGTTGGCAGCCTGGTCTGATGCTGGCACCAGTGAGAAAGGGGTAATGGGGCAGGAAATGTACAGGGAAGCTTTAAGAAGTCGACCAGTAGCTCCTATTTGTGGGGAATCTCCCTTGTGGCAAAAGCTTGTGGGGAATCCCCCTTGTGGCAATGAGTCACAAGGGCTACACAGTCCCCTTTAAGTGTCAGAGGCAGTCTGGTTCCCAGTTGCCCATGGCTGGGAAAACACAGCAAGGAGCAGTCCCCTTTAAGTGTCAGAGGCAGTCTGACACCCGCCCAAGTTGTGTAGGTTTGCTAAAATCTCTTCCATCCGGTTTCCACTTTGGGAGGAGGAAGTGCCTGAGGCAGCTTCCCCCCCCCTTTCATTTCCATCATCAGTGAGTCTCTGCCTGTTTCTGTTAGGTTGGTTGCGCTTTATCTCTGAAGAGGCCCATGGCCACAGAGACGGGCGAAACGTTAGGAAGAACGACCTTCAGAACAAAGAGCCAAAGAGCCCGAAAAACCCACCACAACCACTTTATCTCAAGTGTTTGCTTTCTTTGACTGTGAGCCCACGGACAAAGCACTGAAGTGTTTTTATTTCCAAGGCCAAGATCTCTCATCCTTAAGATGGGCCCGCCGGGACTTCCCAGGGAGGTCTGCTCCGGGAGACGCCATGCCGCTCCGGGGAGAAAGCCCGGGGTCCTTGCGCCCCTGGCACCCCCCTGCCCGGTGAGGGGGGCTTCCAGCGAGAGGGGCGCGCAGGCGTTTCCCTGCCTTTCGATGCTGAGCTCTCAGCACCTCTTCCCCTTCCCGATTGTGCTTTCAGCACGCAAAGACCATTCACGAGCAGAACTGCGAGGAAGTCAAGAAAGCCAACGAACAATACTACCAGCCAGGCAGGTTTGCCTTTTCCAGAGGGCGCCAGTCTTAGAAAGGGGTCGGCAGTGCCTGGTAAGTGCGCCGTGACCAAGCTGTCCTGCCTTGGCCCAGAGGAAGCTCGCTAGGGAAACGATGGCCAGGATACATCTGAGTCTTGCAGCAAGGCCGTATGGGGTGGGGGGATTATGTCCCTTAAAAGCCTGCCCTGCAAGAACAACTTGCCTTCCACTAGCCCAGCTAGAAAAGTCCTCCTGCCCTCTGGGATCAACCAGGGGCCCAGGTGACTGCAAGAGCGCACAGCACAGGAAAAAGGCCATCAGGGCTGCCCTATAGCTCTTGAGTTCTCATGCAGGAGGGGGAGTGCAGGGAGGGAGGGAGGAAGAGAGCAGGCACCTTATTAAAACCTGAGCTTGGGCATGCACCAGTGGTGCCTCCCTTGACTTCCTGGCCATTGGGAGGAGTGGGGAGCCCAGCCTGAGTAGTGTTTCTGCACCGTGTGCCTGCCTGGGTGTGGTGTATGGGCAGGGCATTATAATTAACGTAACTGGAGTTTTTGTGACCAGTAGGGTGGAAAGACAAAAGCCTTTTTGAACCCCCCCCCCCCCGAAGCTTATGTGGCATTTCTGAGCACAGCGGCGGCGCGTGCAACTCACACGCAGCATTCCAAAAGGAGCTGGCCAAGCTGGAGGCAACTCCGTGGGGAAGTGGGTTGGTCTTCAGAGCTCCTAATGGCCTGGGTTAGACAGGAGGAGGAGGAGGAGGCCAGAGGTCAAAGGGAGGCCCTGGCCCCTTGGGCTTGCTCGGTGGCGGCCACTTTTCCTACCTAGGCACCTGATGGAGAGGTTCTCAAAACAGGCGCCACCAGCAGGGCTGCATCATTTGGGAACCCCACCCAGGCCTAACCCTCTTCTCCTTTCGCTCCTCCCCTCCTACTTAGATGGGGATGACATTGAATGGGCTGTTCTCTGCCGGCCAAGGTAAGAAGCCATCATCCTTCTTGCGGAGACAAGCAGAACCCCCCATCAGTTTGGGTCTAGCCGTCACGGGGACAGAAACACCCGTCCTAGAAGAGGCTGCGCCTGAGTGCTTGTCTCAAAGCCCAGCTCTTATTCTCTCTTTCTCTCTTCCCCTAATAAAACTGTACATGAAGATTTCGTATTTTGCTGGATTGAGATGGCCCACTCATGTTTTCTTTCCCCTGTTTTCCCATAATACTTTCCCACAGTAGCCTGCTGCCATGGCATTCTGGCTTCAACCTGAGGTCCACACTCATGGGGGGGCGGCGGTCTCCTCTGGCCACCAGAGTTGGCCCGGCCACAGATGCACAAACGGAGATACCCACATTTTGGGGGTGTTCATGTCGTTGCCAAAGGGGGAAAACGAGACGGCCCTGGGGAAAGAGAAGCCATTTCTCCGCTTTAGGAGAAAGCAGCTCCACAGATCCTTGGCTGGCTGGGCCCCTCAGTTCCACTGGAGACATTCATGAGCTTTTCGGTCTCACCCAGTTTGCTCTCAATCCTTTTTTAAACGGCTTGCCACAAACTCAACCCTTGGCAAGGCGCACATGGGGCGGGGCGGGGGGTGGGGTTTCTTAACGTGCTCAAGTCCTAATCAGCTTTCCTGGAGTCATCAGTTTTTACTTTTAACACTAATAGGGTTTTATGTTCTTCTTTGTAAAAAAAAAAACTGATCAAAAAACAACAACCGAAGCAGATCTCTGCACCTATAGTTAGTGTGTGTAATTTCTTCAGACTGCAGAACGTTTAGCCTTGAAAGCTGCTTGACACCAGGCTTGTAAAGGTGGGACAGAAAACGGGCAGAGTGTGGGGCAGATTTTCTGCTGGCTGAAGGCCTGGCATTCTTCCTATTCGGAACTCTTTCTCAAAATGGGGATCCAGGCCATTGTACAGGCTGTGGGACTCTAGAACACAGCTATCTCCTCCTCTCCCTCATTAGCCTCCGCAGACCTGCTAGGCTCACAGAGAGATGTGTGTTTAGTCGTTTAGTCGTGTCCGACTCTCCGTGACCCCATGGACCAGAGCACACCAGGCCCTCCTATCTTCAAGCCTCAATCGCACCCGGAGGCTTAGGCGTTGTTCAGAATCAGAGTCACCTCGGTGAAGACTGCTAGGCTTTTCCGACAGGCCAACCCATTCCTGGCACCGGATCAAGGGACCTCAGCGGACCACACTCGGAGGGCCTCTGTCTGCCTCTCCAAAGGGCCCACCTGGCTGGCTGGCTGGGGAGGAGGATTCCCACCAAGAGGCAAGCCTGGCTCCCCAGTGAGGGCAGATGCTGACCCAAAGGAGGAGGCTCCCTACCTGTTCAGAGATGGAAAGGCATGAGGCAAAGGGGCTGGTTGGGGAAACACCAGGTTTATTTCACAGGCCAGACCTGTACAGTTGCCCCACACTGCTTCAACACAGCGGGCGGCCAGAGAGAGAAAGGGACAGATAGACGACAGGGTCCAGAGCCCAGCCTTGGTTCAGCCCTGACCTCTGATTCCAGGCAGTCTTTGCTGTTTGACCGTCCTCTCTTCCAGGGCTTGAGGTGAATCCCACCCATCTCCTCAGCAGCTTGCACTACAGTTGACCTCCCACTCTACACCCCCCATGGGAGAAACGAAGCCCCCTTGAGGCACATCCCCTCCTTGCCCCCCCCCCCGCAACCAGAGAGCCGGGAAGCCTCTCCCTCTCCCTGTTCCAGAGCTACCACAGAGCAGGGTGGCAAATGGGTCCTCGGGATTGCTGTGACGGTTCCCCAGAACGCAAGCTCTAGTGTTCCCAGGCATTGAAACGGGGAGGTGGGCAAGGAACATCCGGACCCCCCTCTGACTCATTTTTACAAGCCAGCTTCAAAGGTGGCACAGGTGTAACATGGAAGCTCTGGGAGGGGGGCTGAGCTGAGTCCTGACGACCAAACCAGGGGTCCTGCTGCCTGCGTAGAAAACCCTCTTGGCTTAACGCTTGACCCCAGATTCCCTTGACCAAAGGCTCCTCTCCGACTGACAGACAGACAGCAGAGGACCTTAATGACCAGAGAGGGCTGCTCATTAGTGGGACAGCCTTGACGAGGTGCAGGGAAGGGGTGAAGCCTTCTGCAAAAGGGCCTTGGAGACAGACAGACACACACACACACACGGCCAGCCAGCTCCCAACGGGGACCCTGGGTCAAGCAGGAGGTTCTCCGGCTCCAAGGCCAACTGTCTCGTGAAGGACAGGAGTGGACAAACGGACGCCAAGGGAAGGAATCGGGGCCCTCAGGGCTGTTCAAAACAGATAGGAGGAGCTGGAGTCCGGCCGGATGTTCAGGGTCCGCTCGGCCTGGGAGATGGTGTCCTCGGCTCGCTTGCTCAGTTCCCGGCACTCCTGCAGGACTTCGTTGAACTGCTTGTAGGCTTCTTCCACGATGGAGCTCCTCCTGGCCGGCCGGCCGGCCCAGTAGCCCTCCTCCACCCAGGGCTTGCTTGGGCCGGCCAGCGCGGTGGCCCCTGCCCCACCGGCCCCCTGGGAGCCCTTGAGGGAGTCGTCCAGGTCCTGGCAGAGGTGGTAGAGTTCGCTGCCCTGCCCCGAGACCCTCTCGCCGTCAATCACTTTGACCGCCGGGAACATCTCGGCGATGGCGGCGCGGTAGCCCGGCGAGGCGCAGAAGGGGTTGCTGAGGCGGCCCACAGGGTTGCGGAAGCGCAGGCTCTCCAGCTGGCGCAGCCCCGTCAGGCACTGCAGCTGCTGGAGGCTGCTCAGGGCGTTGCCGGCGGCATTGAGGCTCTGCAGGTTCTCGCAGCCGGCCAGAGGCTCCAGGCTGGCGATCCGGTTGGAGGAGACGTTCAGGACGGCCAAGGCCTTGAGCGAGGCGAGGGGCCCCAGGTGGGTGATGGCGTTGCCGGACAGGTCCAGCCACTCCAGGCTGGCGCACTCGCCCAGGCAGCCCAGGTCCACGATGCCCAGGCCGCGCAGCTTCAGCAGCAGGATGGATTCCAGATCGAACTCCCCCGTCTTGGCCTTCAGCAGCTGGGACGTGATCTTCACGCTCTCCGCCTCCTCACCCTTCTCCGTCCGGGGCTCCATGCTGGGGGAGGCCGCCGCACTGCCAAAAAGGCAGGCTCCTCTCCGAGGCGGTCTGAAGTGCCCCCAAACCCAAACGCCGTGTTCATGTCACGGCCCACGTGGCCGCTGGCCAGGAGTGGACAATGTGTTAGGAACGGTCCCTTATCTCTCCGTGGGCGCCTGCCGCTGCTTCTGCTCCAGACGGAGATCCCGAAGGGCGCTTTTTGTTACAGCTCCTGGAAGGGAGGAAGAGGGTGCAGGGTCAAAGGGTGGCGGCGGACACTCACCAACCAACCCTCCCTGGCCACCAGACTGCCTTACCCTGGGGATGATGGGCTTACCGTTTGCAAGAGAGAAAGTGCCGCTGTGTTCCTAACTTGCAACACGGGCTTTGTGCACAATGTTGCTAAAGGGTGATCATCACTGGCATCTCTGAATCATGGAGACCAAGAGTAACAACAGGTCTGGACTTATATATACAGTATATATATCTATATCAATATCTCAGACAGGGGCTGATGCTCTCCCCTTAACTCAGGAACATCTCTTCGTTCTGTGCAGAGCTGGGACCCCTCCCAGCCATCCTTCCCAGCTCCTTTGCTGCCGCCCTGTGCTGGCAAGGCGATTTATAAGTGATGGTGGCTCTAACAGGAACTCTGAGGCTCAGCGCTGAGGCCTCTGGCTGCGGAGCCAGACCTTGGGAGTTCGATTCCCCCTCGGTGCTGCCTTGACAGGGTCTGGACCAGATGCCCCACAGGATGGATCCCTTTCCAGCTCTGCAGTTCTCAGATGATTCTCGCCCACCCAATGATTAAGGAAAGGCTGGCCATGGGCAAACCCCACCCGCTCGCCCACCCAATGCGATTCCATAGCCCAGCCGGGATTTGAACCCAGATCCTCCAGTCCTAGCCCAGGCTTTCCGCTGCTCCTTGACCCGTGTTCATTTCGGAGGCACAGGGAAAGCTCCAGGCGGAGCACCGAGGGGGGGGGACCGGGGCCGGGCGGCGGCTCCCCCCTCCCCGCCTGCTCTGCAGCCCACCGGC